TCATTTGCACACCTCCAAGCCTTATTTTAGGCCCTTTTCAGTTACTTTTAAAGCCTGCATAGGCTCTGTCCAGAGTTGGTTTTGTCACCTTGGGTTTGTTTCTTGCATGTGTAGAATAACCCCTCTTATAGCCTATCAAAGGAGCATATCATTCTTGCATGCATTGATCATGTTTCAGTGGGTTTTTGGGCTTTATTTGGCATGTCATGTCTCTGAATTTTTCTGGTTTAGTGGCCTCTTGAATGCTTCATATGCTTGTAGTGTAATCCATGTTCACTAGCTCACATTGCATGTTGCTTTAGCCCTTGATTCTAGAATATTTTGGCCATGATCCAAACTAATTTTATTCATATTTTGGGCTGCATTAGATCTTTGTGAAGTGTTTTGGGTCATGTATGCATTGTTGTATATGGTCATAGTTCAATCAAGCTTACTAGATTTCCATATCGGGTCCACTAGCATGTGTTGTTTGGGCTTTTGACATGATTTAGCATCATTATTACCATGATTTCAGAGCATGTAGGGTTGCCATGTTTCCATGTTTTCCACTCTTTAAATGCGTTTGAGAGTTGTGCTTGCATGCCTCATTTTTGGGCTATTGCATGAGCTTCATTTCTATGTTTTGTGAGCCATCATTTTAGTCCATATTTGCTACTGTTTTGGCCTGCATAGGGACTGTTTGGGGCTGGTTTGGTCATTTGTGCATTGCTTTACATATCTTTAGTGTAATGCACTTCACTAGTTTCGGTATCCGGGCCATCTAGCATGCATTGTGTGAGGTGTTTACATGATTCGGGACCGTCTTGCATGTCATTTCAGAGCTGGAAAATATGTGATTGTATGCCATATTTCATCCCTTGCCATGCTTTGGTAGAGTTGCATTTGGTGCCTTAGGTTTGGTCCCTTGAATTTGTACATATTTGCATGTGTTTTGTTGCCTAATTTCATCATGTTTGGCCACTGATTTGAGTGTGGCTGAGGCCCATTCATTTTAGTTTAAGCCCATCTCGCATTGTGTATGCCATTTAGTCCATGTTGTTGCATGTTTGACCATTGCAATGTGTATGCCTTGATCATTTCGTTGTTAGTCTCCATGTGTGCATTGCGTATGCCATATAGTTTCCATGTGCATTGAGTGTGCCATTGATTATTTCATAGCATTGTGTATGCTAGTAGCATGTTTGCATAGCATCATTTGCATGTTTTCATCATTTAGTGGCATTATGTTTAGGTTGCATGCTAGAGTTGCATTCATGCATGCCATGTGTATTGCATTGTGTTTGGAGTAGGGTTTAGTCAAAACACGGGAAGTGAGGGACGTTTCGTACTCCAAGTGACGAAAGGTGCTTCGATTCTCGGTCGTTGACAGTCCGGATTACCCATGATAGAGTTTAGGCCTTGTGGTGTTTATATGTGCATTCATTTTACATCGAGTCGTGCAATCCGACTCCTCGGCCATTATGCATCGAGATGCGTGATTGGTGGCATGAGGATCGAGGACTACACTTCGTATAGCTTATGCAATGACGGGGAGAGTGGTCGTGCAGACATATGTTGAAAATACTTTGCCATGCCTTTCGCCCTCTCTGTTGTAGCAAACCGGAAACTAGCAGCAAAAACTGGTCAGCAGCCTTCTGGAGCTTTGTACAGTGTTCTGGGACCAGTTGCAAATAGAGGCAAATCGAGCATCGCGATGGGTTTCCGACAAGGCGACTTGAGCATGCATGCATCCCTATCATTCAGAGCAGAGCTGAGGCAGTCCATTTTGTTTAATTTGCATGCTAGTTTCCTTACTTACTTAGTTAATTCGTTAATTAATTAATGTTGTGTAATAATTAGTTTAATTAGTAGATTAGCTAGTTTATTCTGTACTATTCATTCGGACCCTCCGAGGAGGGCAATGTTGTAATAAGTGTGCGTATGTGTGTGATGCATTGCCTTCCAACCCACTTCTTTCTCCATTTTATTTACCAACTTATGATGGTTAGTTTAGGGCACGTTTCAATTAGCATACTTATGCTCGCATGTTTGCATCCATTTATTTGTCTTGCATGCACCGGGCTCGGTGCATCATACTAACTGCATTGTATTTCAATTCCGAGTTGAATTACAAGTATCAGTTGTTGCATTTCATATGTCATTTTAGATAGCAGAGCCTATCTTAGTTGCATGTTTTATGTGTTGCATTAGGCATTTCAGCATAGTTAGGATTAATGCATGATTTCTAATTAGCTTCATTTCTTTGGTTGGAGTACTCGGTTAAGTTTTATGCTTTAGCATCCTTGCATGTGTGTGAGTGACTGCCATGATAACATGCTTACCATGAGGCTATTTGCTTATGTGATATAACTGCCTAAATGCTTGTGGATGAAGGTTGGGTTATTTGAATTGGAACAATTCACCAATTGAGAGTCTTAAGCCCACTTGAGAGTGGCAAAATCATGTTTTCTTAAGCCCGGTTGAGGGTGGCAAATCTACGTCTTAGCCTACTTGCGAGTAGCACCATCAAACCATCTTTCAAATGAACAAACATGAAATGTTTTGTTCCAACTCAAACGATCCAGTCTATACTTGTATGTTGTGTGCATCACATAGTAATTCTAGGCTAATAATCAGAATAAGAGCACATAATGTTTTCAAAACTCGATATCATGGTTAGTAGAGGCCGATCTTGGATCGATCGAGCGAGCGGGGGTGCTCATGAAGTGACCTTCCCCAATCGTACCCAAGTTCTCGAGCTGAGGCAACTTTGGTGATGACGGACACGTGGCCTTAGGCACGAATTAGGGTTTCCTAAATTCCCCCAAAATAAAACATTTAGGTGGCGACTCTGTATCTGGCAAAGTAGCCCATGTTTGGCACTTCTTTCTAAAAATCAATTTTTCAAAACGATTTGCCGGATTTGGACTCTTTGATGATTCATCGGTCTTGCATTGCACTCCGCGAGATTAGATACAGGACCGTGACATTGAGTCCAAACTATAGTAAGCCCCAATGAACAAAACGGGATTTTTCCTAGGACGTTCGGGGACGTCTACACATGGGTTGTGCCAAATCCGCAGTAGCCAAATCAATCGGGCAAACCGGATGCATTCCAGGGGCAAACTCCACCACAAAGTCTATAAGAGCTTAAGCCTTGATCGCGGTATGCAGTTGGAACTTGATGTCGTATTGCCCCAATTCAACGGCCAATTTCAAAATTCTCCCGGTAAAGTCTGCTTTTTCAAAGAGCACCTTGAGTGGAAACTCGGTTAGCACCATTATTGTGTGGGCATGAAAGTAGTGTGCCAGTTTTCTGGAAGCCATCATCAGGGCCAGGGCTAATTTTTCTAGTGGCAGATATCTTGATTCAACCGGAAGCAAGGTATTGCTTACGTAGAAGATGGGAAGGTGCTGCGTACCTTTAACACGGACCAAAACCATGCTCACCGCATGTTGAGAGATTGCTAAGTAGAGATACAGGTCTTTACCCGGCTTTGGTGTAACCAGGATAGGGGCTGAGGACAGGTACACTTTTAGATCCGCCAACACACGGTCACATTCGTCATCCCAGAAGAACTTGGCCTTCAAAGTTTTGAAGAAAGGCTTGCAACGATCTGAAGACCGACTAATAAATCTATTCAGCGCGGCTGCCATCCTGGCGAGATGTTGCATGTCCTTCGTGGAGTTTGGGCGCTCCAGCTCTTGTATCACCTTGATTTGGGATGGGTCGGCTTCAATCCCTTGGTTTGTGACCAACAAACCCAGAAACTTTCCGGTGCCGACTCCAAAGGCGCACTTGGAGGCATTCAAACGAAGCTTGTGATGTTTAAGTGTAGCGAACATCTCTGCTAGGTCGGTGAGGTGTTGAGACTTCTCCTTGCTCTTTACCACCATATCATCTATGTAAGCCTCCATGGTGCAACCTAGAAAGGGAGCGAACATCTTGGTTACCATCCTTTGGAAGGTTGCCCCAGCGTTTTTCAGTCCGAACGGCATGACTCTGTAACAATATAGGCCTCTTGGAGTGGTGAATGAAGTGATCTCTCGGTCTGGTTCATACATGGCTATCTGGTGGTAGCCGCGACATGCATCCAGGAAGCTAAACCTCTGATGGCCAGCGGTCAAGTCCACCAGCTGGTCGATTCGTGGGAGGGGGAAGCTATCCTTTAGGCACGCACGGTTGACCGTCTTATAATCAATGCACACCCACCACTTGCCGTTCTTTTTTAGAACCACCACCGTGTTAGATATCCACCGAGGGTATTGCACTTCTTCTATTGCCCCTACCTCCAACAAGTTCTTGACTTCTTTCGCCACTACCTCGGCATGGTGCAAGGCTGAGCGGCATGCCCTCTGGATGACCGGCCGTGCATTAGGGAAGACATTCAACTGATGGCAAATGAAGCTAGGGTCAACGCCAGGCATATCGTAAGGCGTCCATGGGAAGGCTTCCATATTGGAAATCAGAAAGTCAACGTACTCATGTCGCTCGGCGCTGGACAGGGATGAGCCCAAAAGAAAGAACTTTTTTGGGTCATTCTCGTCTACGCGCACCTCCACCAAATCTTCAAATGATTTCTCTTCGGCCTTTCTCCCCATGTCTTCCAAGACTTCCTTTCCCTCCGGGCCCTCTACCATTTGGACGAAGCCCTTGGTGGCTCGGCTGCCGTTCACCGCAACGAAGCACTGTTTTGCCATTACCTGGTCTCCCCATACCTCTTCTACCCGCCTGGTTGATGTCGGGAAGTGCAGAACTTGATGGTAGGTCGACGCTATTGCTTGTATGGTGTACAACCAGCCCCTGCCCAAAATTAAGTTGTAGGTCGATGGAACTTTAAGCCCTCAAAACTCCACCTACTTCATGACCGATCCACTCTGACCGGCAGTATGATCTTTCCGATCGGCCATTATGGTTGAGAGTTAAAGCCAACCAATGGAGACGTCGCAGGGGCCAAGTCCTTGTCCTCCAACTTCATTTGTTTGAACGCTTCATAATACATGATTTCGACCGAACTCCCCTAGTCAATCAAAATCCTCTTGATGTCAAAGTCTTTGACGCGAAGAGTTACTACTAAGGCGTCGTTGTGGGGCATTTGAATTCTCTCCAAGTCCTTACTCGAAAAGGCAAGGATATCCTTCTCTTCGGTCTTCCCTTTCTTCATAGCGGGCTGAACGGAGAGCACTTCCCTCATGTGCTCGGCTTTCTTAATCATCCCTCTTAGCTCGCAGACGCTTGCCAGTTCAATGATGCCATGGATGACATTGATTACGCCTTGGGGTGCTGCCTCCAGGGCGACTAGGCCATTTGGCTCGGTTTGTCCCAGTGGGGCGGCTTTCATACCCCCATTTATGTGTTGGTCCAGATGTCCCGCCACCACCAGCTCCTCCAAATGTTGTTTGAGTGGCAAGCAATCTTCCATTTGGTGTCTCCGTTCCTCATGGAAGGTGCAGCAATACCTTGAGTTGAAGCCTCTCTGTGTACTCCCCAACTTGGCCGGCCAGCGGACGAAGGGCTCACCTTGGATTTCACTCAGGATGCGATAAATAGGGGTTTTAAAGACCGTGGTGATACCAGTTCGCGCCTTCAATTTCCTCTTGGCATCTTCCTCTTCATCATGGGGAGCGTTAGCTCAGTCATTTCTGCGACCTTGTTTCTATCATCGCGGTTTGGGCCACGACGTTGATCTTTTGACCGGTCGTTTGGGCGGTTGTCCTCCTGCCCGACCGAGTGAACCTTTCTCGCCACTTTTCTGTCCGCCGCAACCGGATTAGCCTTCTCAGTCGCGGAGGCGGCATCATCCTCCACACGGATGTCTTCATTGATTCGTTACATCAAGGATTCCATGGTTTTGGGTTGGTGCATTGTAAGCGAATCTCACAGCCTATGACCGACTGGGAGACCTCGCTTGTGTTGAGTAATCGCCAGATTGGTGGGGCAGTCGAGGATCTCATTGTAAGTTTCCCAGTACTTCGCATTATATGCCTTCAACGAACCTCCAGACTCCATCTTGACACCCAGGAGATAGTCGACCTCCTTTGGTGTTCGAGTGCTGGTTTTGAATCTGGTGACGAAGGCCTCCGCTAATTGTTGCCACCCCTCGGAACTCCCCTCCGGAAGCCTTTCGAACCATTTCAGGCGCAGTTCTCCTAAGCTTGCTGGGAATATGAGGCACATCAAGGCGTCATTGCGCCAGTGTCCAGCCATTACTTGTTGGTAATGACTCACGTGCATGTACGGATCCATCTTGCCGTCTATAGACACCCTATTTTGATCGACCTTAAGACTCATACATCATCGATTGAGCGCTCGGTGATTGCGCATATTGTGCTTGTTTCGAGGTTTCGGAGTTCTTAGCTGAGAGCCTCGCCTCTGGACCTCGGGATCCTTTGTACTTTGACTCGGTCCGTGGACCAAGTCTTGTTTTCTCTTCCCGGAGGGAGGGAGAGGTCTTGTAGACCATCTCTCAGTGGTCGTAGGTCGCTGTTCCCACTTGGAGACTAGTTTTCGCTTTTCGGAGCTGTCGGCCGTGCGCCTCAGCTCGGGACCGCTTAACATTCTTCGTTTGGCATGGTTTTCGGAACACACCTTGTTTCCTCTGTCTAGAGGGACACTATGGTCCGAGAGACCACTTTTGTGGTCGTACGCCACTTTTGATGCTCGACAGCTGGTTTTCGGGGCTTCCAGCCACGCGTTTTTCCTGCCGAACCCTCGTCGTGCATCCGTTTTGGTTTGTCTTGGGTATAAACCTTAATTTCCATGTTTGGGAAGTGGTACATGGATGGGAGACCAGCTTTTATCCTTGGAGACCACTTTTCTCCCAGCCAGCCGGTTTTCTGGTCGGGAAACTGGTTTTTTTGGTCTTTGAGCCACATTTTCTGATTTCCCACCCCACCATGGGCTTGCTTTCAGTGTGGAGACCATCAATTACCTTGGCCGACCACTTTTTTTTGGAAAACCAGAAAAAGTGGTCGGCCGACCAATGAAAGTAGCAGGCCGACCACTTTTTCTGGTTGGCGGCCTTCCTACAGATTTTGTAAAGTCTGTGGACGTGTTTGCCGTATGCTATTCTTGAACGGTTTGTCGGAGGCTCGCTTTGAGAAGCGTGCCGTAAGGCTGACTGGTTGCGGGCTCTGCCACGACGGGAACACAAACCTCGATTTTACCGGGGCACCCTTTTTGACCATTCGACCTAGTGCATATTCGGAATCCATAGTGACCATTCCAAGCTAGGACAAGTTACTTACCCGATTATAGGTTGTTTGAAACCGCTGCGTGCGTAGTGAAACCCTAGCTCTTGACAAAATAGGACAGGGAAACCCTACCCCAACATAAGGGTGTTTTGGCTCTCACTTGCTTGTTATGTGCTTTTAGAGTGCGTCTCTACAGGGAATGCATGTATCAGTTTGCAAGTTTGGGCATCAGGCCTGCAGGCACCAATTCAATATTTTGGAAATCAGTTATCTACGGGTATTAGATTCAGTTTGGGGACAGTGATTTGGGGATAATGATCAGTGTTGGAGAACAGCATTTTTAGCTTATCAACTGTGTGTTGTGATGCCCAACTGTGTGTTGTGTATTTATTTAAAGCCGTTATGCTGTCCGTTTGTCTGGTTGTTTATTTCCTTATTATTGCTTTCTTTATTTTTTTGCTAGGGTAGTTTAGCACAATTGCTTCAGACCAAGCAGATATTCCCCAAGCACTCTGGACAAGAGGTCGCCGACTCAATTGATTTGAGGATCTGGTCGACGGACAACCAGTGTTCCACTCTGTACCCCCGGTTACCAGACGGAGGCCGAGAAAACGCAGTGTATCTGAGCAGAGGTTGCCAGAGCAGTGGTCTACCCCATCAGCGGACAGTCGGGCTGAGGTCTCAATTGTTGCCATAGAGATAGATATACCAGTCAGTCAAATGGATCAGCATAACACATCAAGGATGAAGGCAATGATGCGTCAACTCCAAGAGAGTATGAAACTCATGCAACAAGACGTTGTCCGCCAAGCGGAATTTTTCAAGCAGCAGGCTGCAATCATGGCCCAGCAGGACTAGACGGAGGTCGAGAAAACGCAGTGTATCTGAGCAGAGGTTGCCAGAGCAGTGGTCTACCCCATCAGCGGATAGTCGGGCTGAGGTCTCAATTGTTGCCATAGAGATAGATATACCAGTCAGTCAAATGGATCAGCAGAACACGTCAGGGATGGAGGCAATGATGCGTCAACTCCAAGAGAGCATGAAAGCCATGTAGGAGGACGCTGTCCGTCAAGCAGAATTTTCCAAACAGCAGGCTGTTGTCATGGCCCAACAGGCAGAGCTAATTACCCGGCTATAGCAGCAAACCGGAGCATCTGCTTCGCACTAAGCTCCTCTCCCACCAGGAGTTCCGCCACCCGGGGAAGTACCAAATGTTCAGGGAGAGACGGATATTCCAACAGGGCTGGCTCCGCCCCCGATTCTACCTCAATTTTCCAAGGCACCTACGCCTATCAATTAACCAGACTCTCCCTTCGAGTTCGAAGTGGACCCTACAGCATTGAAGTTGAGCAAGCTTGAAAAGTTGTTCAAGAAATCCCAGGGGGTAAAGTCCATCCCAGACATTGAGGACAGGTATACCGACGTGGCTGTGACGCTACCAGATAGATTCAAAATGCCACAAATCGACCGCTTTGACGGATTTGGGGATCCCATGGTGCATCTCCGATTGTTCTCAGATATACTACGGCCGATGGGCCTCACCAGACCACAAAAGCTTTCATTATTCGGCCGGACCCTATCGAGTGTGGCCGTTATCTGGTACGCAAAATTAGAAGACGATGTTAAGCGAAACTGGGATGAGATGGCCGAGGCTTTCATTGCGCAGTACTCCTATAACACACAAATCGAGATTACAAGCCATGATCTTGAGACAACAAGGCAGGAGCCTAAGGAGAGCTTCTCTGAATTCGTAGCCCGGTGGAGGGAAAAGGCCTCGATGATGACCCTAAGGCCTACCGATAAAGACCAAATCTGGATGATCGTGCGCAATCTCCAGCCTAAGCTGATGCAGAAAATGATCGTGCTCCTATTCCCTACCTTTTCAGATCTGCATGAGATGGGAGTACAGATTGATGATGCCTTGAAACAGGGCTTGATTGATAATGACAGAGAGCAACCCAGAAGAACCTTCAACCGCAACAACAATACAGGCACCAGCAATGCCGCAAATGCTAGAGCTTCAGAAGTAAGCACGGTCACCACCATTCCCTCTCCAAGACCCATGGCAGCTACACCTTTCTCCGGCGCGTTCGAAAGCAACACACAAACCACTAAATACCAACCTCGAGGCCAGAGAACCTTCACCCCATTATATATGCCCCTGTCCAAGGCTCTAGGGGTTTTAATCAGAAAAGGGCACTTGAAGCCCCTCGAACCGAGGCCATTGCCAAATCCACCTCCTCCTTCCCATAACCCAACCAAATACTACGCATATCACCAACAACACGGTCATGACACTGACCAATGTTTTAGATTGCGTCACGAGATTTAGGATCTCGTTGACAAGCAGGTGATTGTGCCTCTAGAAAAACCCAACGTCACAACCAACCCCCTTCCACCGCACAACCAAGCTCCACTCCCCAAATGTATCAACTTTATCCAGACTGGGGTCGTATCTTACGATCCTAGCATATATATCACCCCGTCCCACCTATCCAAGTCGGAGGTGCTCCTTTCTGACTACACTGACTTGTGCGTGTTGGACATCTCCAGAACCTAACCCGGACCAATGGTGGTGACTGTCGAAGACAGAACAGGGGAGATTTCAGGGGGAGAATGGGATTGTTGAGTCAGAATCTGAGGAATCTAGGAGTTTTGCTGAAGAGGTATACAGTCCGAGTCACTACATTCTATCAGTAGGCCAGGTTGGGCCAAATGTGGAATTGCCGGCAGGTGCAGAGCTTTGTGTGATACAAGGGGGTAAATCTGGTCAGAGGATAGATGACTTGGTAGCTGTGGAAGGAGACTTTGCTAACCTCCAATTTTTCAGTGAACAAGATCCAGAGGGCATGACAGTCAACTGGTCTGATTTTGAGGAGTCAGCAGAGGTCACCGGGTGGCTTAATGACCTACCAGATGTTGTCGACGAAACTCAGTTGGAATGGGGCCCGGCAGAGGCAAGAACATCAGTTGTGGCCGAAAGGGCCGAAAATCAGAATGCATCGCCGGAAAGCGCCGATACTAAGAATTTCGCTCAGGATCTGGGCATTTGGAATACAGGAATTATAGTGCAGCCAGCTGTACTGACGCAGTTGGAGCAAAAAGGAATCGAGGAGTTTGAGAGAATCACAAAAGCCAAGGCCCCCGGGACTGAAAGTACTATGTGTATGAGGATAAAGAATGCTGTGAGCATGTGGACGAAAAGTACTGCGAGTACAATTGTACCGGA